GGATGGATGGATGGATGGATGGATGGATGGATGGATGGATGGATGGATGGATGGATGGAGATATATATTTGAGCCAATAGTTTGGGAGAAACTTCCTCCGAGCATCTTCCAGTTTCACAAGGAAGGAAATCAGTTCACAGGCAATGTGAAAGAACAAGTTCATATCATATGAAATAGTTTAATGCGACTTCTTTACGAAAAAGAAAGCAGAAGGGAACAACTGTACACTTTTTAAAAACTGCCTGCTTTTTCCTCCTGCCTCCACCTCTCCATTTCCACCACCCTTTCATCCTGAATGGCCACTGAGATGGAATTCCTAGAGAAGCCCTGTTTTTGTGGGGTCTCTGTAGGAGTTCATCTCAACTGTGGATATCAGAAGGGACAATTAATCATTCAGTACTATAGTCACACAGAAAAGTAAGTACACCCCATGTAAAGATTTTTCTTTTTTAACGTATAAGGACATATCAATAGTTTACCTTCATTCAAACAGTTTATAAAGATAAAGATGATGTAACTGAACAAACTATGAAAAATTGACTGTGCAATCATTTATTCAACAAAAAATTAATATATGCCATTTCCTCCTGTGGAAAAAGTTAAGTATACCCTTGGCTCTAATACCTGGCACCGTCCCCTTTGGCAGAAACAATCTTAAGTAGGCATTTACCATGCTCTGACACTGGCTGGGAGGAATTTTTTCACACTCCCGCCTGCCCATTTTTTTCAGCTGTGCTTGTTTGAGAGGCCTCTTGCATGCACAACCGTTTTCAGTCAACCCACAGCATCTTGATGGGATTTAGAACTGGGCTTTGATTTGGCCACTCCAGAACCCGCCATTTTTCTTTTCTTTTCTTTTTCTAGCCATTGTTTGGGGGATTTACTGGAATGTTGAGGGTCACTGTCATATTCCAAGGTCCACTTCTGGTTGAGCTTCAGTCTTCTGACAGATGGTCTCACATTATCCTCAAGCAGTCTCTGGTACAACAAAGAACTCATAGTGGATTCTAGGATGGCAAGCTGTCCAGGCTCTGATGCAGGAAAAGAGCCCTAAACCATAATATTTCCACCACCGTGCTTGACAGTTGGTATCAGGTTCTTCTGGTGAAATGCTGTCTTTGGTTTTCACCAAACATGTCTTCTGATACTATGGCCAAATAACTCTCTCTCTGCCTTGTCAGTCTAGAGCGCTTTGTTTCAGAAGTCCTGGTCTTTGCCTAGGTGTTCGTGAGCCAACTTTAGTCTTGCCCTGATGTTCCTTCTGGACACCAGAGGTTTCCCACGTAGATCAAATTTGTGCAGCTTCTCTCCAATGGTAGACTCATGCACTTTGACATCAATAGTGGTGAGAGTTACCTGTAGGTCACTTGATGAAATTCTGGGGTTCTTAGAGATTTCTTTCAGCATCTTGCCTTTTGCTCTCAAGCTCAACTTGCTGGGAGAGCCTGGCCTGGGCAGGTTGGCAGTTGCTTGAAATCTTTCTACTTCTAGATGATCTTCCAGACAGTGAAATGATTGAGGTCCAATGGTTTGGCAATCTTTTTCAATCCCTTCCCGGACTCATAGGCATCTATAATGTTCTTTGTGAAGGTTTCAGAGAGCTCTTTTGATCTAGGCATGGTGATACCACCCACTTCAACAATAAAGAGCAAATCAAACTGAACACCTGAGTTTTCAATAAGACAGGTCCCTCCCAGATCCTCTCTAACAATATTCTAATCAATTGCACTTCATCTGGTGCACCTGATTCTAATTTTAGGTTTTTGAGGTAGTGATAAATGTGCGGCTGCACTTACTGTTTCCACATGTGGAATTTGCATTTATGTTTATTTAAATTACACCATGGGCTACAAAATGTAAATAGCGCATGACGTTTGTTATGTTATCTCCCCTTTATCTATCAATACTGTTGAAATGAAGATCAAATCTCTGTATATTGACATATGTTGAAAAACTCAAAAATTTCAGTGGGGTGTACTTTTTCATATGATCTTAGTTCCCATGATAAGGGAGAGGGGAAGTTAGTCATCTTGGGGAGCAGGGAGGGATTAATTTAGCTCCAGACTAATTCACATCTGTTTAGGATTAAAACTAACCTTCTGAAGAGTAAAGGACGGAGTCAAGTTGCTGGTTTTGGGAATTGGCACAACATAGTGCTCCTCCCTATGACACAGTTACGGGTTTTGTACAAACAGGGTTACTGCAGCATGTCCTTTGGGTTATCAACCAGCAGCAACGACAACCCCCTCCCCCCAGTTAATGACTGCACGTAAGCTATTTTAAGAGGCCTTTCTGCCTGTAAAGCAAAATGCATTCTGGTCAGCCTGCAGGACTGGGACTCTTAACAAGGTATGCAATGCAAAATTCTATCCTCCTTGAGACGTTGCTATCAATTTAATCAGTGAGGGAAAGCATGCATTCTTCCTTAATTAAATGATGCACACAGATACCCAGGCAATAGCCGGGCCACCTTTTTCAGAGCAAAGGGAAAGCCTCCAAGATACAGGCAAGCAATGGTTAGGCACCAAAAATGCAGGTTGACAAGCTCCCCACCTCAGTTCCGGCAGAGCCCTGCCCTCCATCTCGGCCTCTTGAGTAGCAGAGCTGAAATCAAGGGCACATAAATAAGCAATGCCGTGGATGGAAAATTAAGACACGTTTCCTCAATTCACCTAATTTTATCCAGAGTTTCTTGGCCCAGAGTCTTAAATTATTGAGAAGGGAGCACACGCACCCTTGATTACCGCTGCCTGCAAAGAGCACCACAATGGCTAGGCGATAGGAGGGAAAAGCACAATCGCTCAGCGCTGGTCTGCAATCAAGGGGAGACGAAGGACAGGACTTACGCTGACAGGTCCCTCCATTCGTGGGGTCTCCATAGTAACCAGAGATGCACGTCTCGCAGTGTTTGCCGGTCGTCAGGTTCTCACATCTCTCACAGATGCTCTCATTGACACATTTGCTGTGCCCGTTACACTGGCAGGCTGCAGACAAAAAGACGCTTCTGTTGGTATCTTTCTTGGCCGCTCACGTTTACTTCTGGGGGCTGACCAGAGGCTCTGTTTTCCTAGACCAGCAAGAACGGGGCCCTACAAGGTGACTTGGCCACTGGAATCAACTAACGCAAACCTCAATTAATTCAGTGAAACTCCTATTAAAAACCATCATGGCATCCCCAATAAGCTTGGGCCAAAAGCACGGTGCTGCTTCAGAGGGCAGGTGCCCTGACAGGGAAGGTGCGCTTCCCAGGTCCTGGAAGATGGTATGCTTTAATTGAAGGGACCTGGAGCGCAGGTTTGGGCACCCCTGCCTTATAGATTGGCTACTTCAAATCAGCGTTTTTCAGTACCTGGACACTGGATAAAGGACCAGTTATATTTGTTCTCAGTCTGGCACAGGCTGGCATCCAGGACAGGGTCTGGGTAGGGCTTTCCTGATGAGGGCAGAGGGGCTGCTGGCACCTTCATTGGCGCTCTCGAAGAGCCTTCCATGCATCGCCCCTTCCCGGTGTTACTGGGATCCGTGCACCAGCCACAGCCTGGTTGCTCCAAGCAGTGGCTGCAAGTGAAGTAGCCGGAACAGTTTTCAGCTGCAGGGAAAAAGCAAAGAAAACGCTCTCGTGGATTAGAGAAGCCACCCACATTGGAAGGCTTCAGACATGTCCCCAGGCAACAAGGTAAGAGCTGGGCTATCCATCAGCTTCGGCCTCTTTTTTCCCCATTCTGATCCTACCACCCCCACTACCAACTTCCTTATTTGGAGAAGCCAGAGTCTGCTGTTACATCCATACTGGCAAACCATGGCTTGCACTTGCCCCTCCAAAGCACAGCTGGAAGCCACATGGGTGGAAGGGATCTTTGTGGCTGCTGTGCTGCTGTTTTTTATTTCTCTTTCTTATCGGTGAGGCCTCTGCAAACGTCTCCACGCTACCACTGTGGCTAAAACGAGTGGAGCTTCATCATTTGGCCTGGATTACATATTTGCACCCTTGGCAAATACGATGAGCCCAGCCACAGTGTGCAAACCCCTCAGTAGAATCAGGAAAGTCAAAAACACAGCCTGGAATTTTCTTGACTTGGGGAAAGGCTGTGAAGTAACGCTGGCCAAAAAGCGGGGACCTACTCCACGTGGAGATCTCAACACAGCCCTTTCAACTCAGGCTGCGATCAAGTGGCCCACCTATCCCAGGCCTAACCCGAAGTTTCATTCAATAGGCTGCAACAGGCCGTAACAGAGTGACCCACAAGTAACACTGCTTCCCCATTCCAAAGCAGCTGTCCCCTTTCTAGGCCCCCACCACCCTTCTGACCCCAGCGAGGAGGAGACGGCTCACGTGGACAGCTGCTCACGGTATGCCATTCCATGCACTGGCCGTAAGGGAAGGAGGCCACGTATGCGTTTGAGTCCACACACTGCTTCTTGTTGCTGCACCACATGCATTCGGAGTTGCTGCTGGTGCATTCGCTGCACGCCGTCCTCAAGCCACAGGGGGTGCGGCACTGCTTGGCGCTGTGGTTGGCTGCAAGAAAAAGACACAGGATGCAGCACAGGATGAACGCCAGCAGCTTTCCCCTTGAAGGCGCTACAAGCGTTTACAGCTTTCTCCAAGGCATCAAAGAAAAGGTCCCACTGCAGACGGAACGAAGCCACGCTTCTCCTCCTACGGCCACCCCCCTTGGTGCACTGTTCATCTTCACCTCCCTCACTAGGGCCACCTTCTCTGTGCCAGAGTTTATTCTCTCTCTCCTGGAATCAAAATGCTTCTGATCACTTTCTCTTGCTCTTATGGACAGGAGGGTGTTGCCTGAAGACCCCCTCCTGAAGTCCCGCCTTGCATGGAGAGAAGTTCCTCTTCCTTCCTATTTCCCAGCCTTCTCTAGATTTAAGAGCTGGAGCACGTTGTCATGCCTTTATTCAAAACTGTGAACACCGCCAACTTCCTCAGACTCAAGACAGTTTACAGTCAAACAAAATGCAGTGCAGTCCTAAGAACGCAACCTCGTGAGTCAAATGAAATGCCTAACAAAAGGCAGCCTTGTCACCACTAGCACCCAGATGCTGTGCAATAACCAGATCTGAAGGACCTTCCTAAAGGCCAGGAAATTCAGGGCACTGTGTACCCGAGCAGGAAAGTCTTCCAGAGTATGGAGGTAGCTACCGAGAAGGTACGCTGTTGGGCCCCCATCCCTTTCCTTTCATATGGGTGAGGACCCTCAGCATTCCTTCCCTAAAAGAACACACAATTTGAGAGCCTCCAAGGCCTGCAGTTCGCTGATGTTTAGCCAAAATGGATTTGGGATGTTGTATTATAAGCCTTCATTCCCTTTCAGCCCCACATTGCTTATGGCCACAAGCATCCATCATTCTGGAGCTGATCCACATGGTGATTCTGCACAAAGCTACCCATGGAGACCTGAGCAACTCTGCAGAGACCCATTTTGCACCAGATCCCCATGGTGTTCATCCTACACCCTCCAGCCTTTAGCTTGCCTCCAGCAGTTTCCAAATGAGCCAAACATTGAGTGTTAATTCTTCTGTGTTCACCTGCAGCTCTGTAGGAAACCTTGCAAAAAGGTGCTGGTTCAGTTCCAACCAAGTGCAGACAACAATAGGACTAATAGCTTGATCAAGGTTACAGAGCTTGCTGCTTTCCCAACAGTTGGTGTTTTTCAACTCCAATCTTAGCTCTGGATTTTCTGCTTACATTGGTTCAAGTCTTCAAGAAGGCCTTCCATGAGTCAACACAGCACAGCTTTCCCAACCTGGAGGCCTCCAGACAACCTAAGGATTATGGGGGTTACTGCCCCACATTGGCCAGAGGACATCAGGTTGGAAAATCCTTGCCAGCCTTCTTTCTAATTGCAATTCTATACTTATCGGGTCCCTCTTCCTTGATTCTGTGTGGGGTGGTTCCACTGCCTCCACAAGGTTTGGCCCTGGTGTGCCTTTGGCAAGAAGAACAAAGTTGAGTGATACTTTACCTGGCCTTTCACAGACGCTGCCATTGACAAGGTTGATGCAGGTAGCTGCCTTCAACCCTCTGCTGCTTGGCTCTGCTAAATAGCTACAGAAGCCAATATCACTGGGTTCCCCTGGAAGCCACCGGAGCAGGGTGTTTGTAAAGGGGGACATGTCTTCCCAGCACCAGTACGATACATTGATCTTCCGCAATCCAACCCAGGGTGTCAAAGCTTTGGGCTGGGGGGTGGGGGGAAGGAGAGAGAGACAGAGAGATCAACTAGCTGAACCACTACTTCAGGAGTTTCAGTGGGACTAATGAGCCACACCACAATTTTCGATACCCAAGAATATCTTCTCTATAGAAAAGGTCTAACCTATCATTCTTTGGGACAGTCGCCATCTCTCTGTGTTCCCTTAATGGACACCTAAGTTGCCTGTGATAAGAATCCAGAAGTTCATTTACTAGCATCTGATGAAACGGAACCAGGAAGGATTCATCTGAGCCAAACTTAACAATAGTCAGAGCTATCTGATAAGCCACTGGGGAAGGATTGCACCATTTGTACACAAAAGCACAAGGAGCCCAGTTGCTACCAATTCCTGGGAGCTGGGAAAGTGTCAATTCCCGGAGCTCTTCTGTCATAACTGCACAGCACTTATATTGATCAAATTATGAACAGCTTGGGCCCAAAGGGGAAGACTTGACAAGGGTCCATTCCAGGAAAAATAAGGAGAAAGGGCACATGGGGAGGGGAGGAAAAAACACCAGTTTTCAGTAGTCAGAAACGTAATAGAGCTTTTAGATGATGCACCCACAAATAAAAACTCTTAGCTGCGTGAACTGCCGAAGTTATTTGGGTTTTGAGTCTTAATTCAGAGGAACGTTGCATTTCCATCATGTCCTTTCCATCCAACAGGTATCCCTGACCCCCAATTGAAATGTGCAAAGGGGCAGCAGATTACTCACCGAGGACTGGGTCTTTTGGAGTTCCTTGAGAAGGAATTCCACCTTCTTCTGAGTAGTGAGTGAGGCCAGAGCAGCGTTATGGCTTCTGCAGGCCAACTTCGCGTTGTCATAGCTATCTTTAGTGTTGGTGATTCTCAGGCAAGAATTGCCAACCAAGTGCCATGTTGCCCCACAGATGTTTTCTGCAAAATAATCATCACTGTCATCCAAAAATTCCTTTCCTGGCTTTGTTTTGCTGTGAACATCCATGGATGAGTGGGTGGGAATGAGCCAATTAACAAAACACAGACAATATTTAAGGTCTAGAGCAGTGTTTCTCAACTTCAGCAACTTTAAGATGTGTGGACTTCAACTCCCAGAATTCCCCAGCCAGCATACTGGGGCATACTGGCTG